TATTTTCAGGGGAAGGGATTGTGAGAAAGCATCAATCTTTCTTGGATTGCATTATTAATACCGGTACCTGTTCTGCGTTTTCAAAGAAAAATCCATGCAAATGCTCAGCTAGTCCCAGATCTTCCTCTTCTACTACACCAGTGCCACCTTCACTCGCAAGTACGGTGATACGAGCCTCTTTGTTCTGATGTTCCTTGCATAACCAGGATATTCTCCCACTTGCTAGATGACACCTAGTGAATGGTAAACCATTGTAAAAGATACATTTATGGTCGAACATGAAGACTGGAAGTGATTTGAAAACATGATGAAAAATACAAATTTGATGAAACTCGGGTTCCCATTGTATTTTCTCTGTTCCCCTTCTACAAAGTGCAATTATGAATGGTTATCGCAGCATGGCCTGCACCTTCATCATCTCTGTGAAAACAACGAACATTTTTAAGTTATGAGATGAAGCACACCTTTGTAGTCCTCCCATGGACTGATTCACATCGCATTCCATTATGAATCTTCTCAACTCTTGGTAAGGGTTGGAGAAATCACCAGTTCCAGCAGCTTTCTGAAATATGAAATCATAATACCGGTACTCAATGTAGCAATGAGCTATTATGCATGTCTTTGTTAGTTAGTTAGTTATAATTAGTTTATCAGTGAGCTCATATATAGTACAGATTCATTAAACACATATTAAACCTAGAAACCCATACTTTTTCACAGTACCAGTTTATCAATAAACCAGCAATTCACCAATTAAGCCTGTATTTGGACTAGTAACCCATATGTTACCATTGAGTTCTTTCCAGAAAGCAATTCTTTCACCAGTAAATCATACAATGTAGTTCATGTGAACCTGAATAATTACATGACTAAACATGCAGCCTCTCGGTTGAGATAGCTCTGCTGTTAGCAATGCACATTTCAAATATAAAATTTGAGGATATCATCACAAAATGAACAAATCTGAGAGAGGACCACCTGTCCACCTTTATGTATAATATCAAATCAATCAGACTCATGGTGTTTAACAAGTAGTCAAAAATATTACTTTTTACTAAAAATTATCAAAATATTCATCAAAATTAGAGTATTGAGGATATTGCAACGAAATATATCATCACAAAATGAAACAATCTGAGACGGTAAACCTGTAGTACATATATCTATAATATCAAAGCAATCGGACTTTTCCAACAAGAGGATGAAAGTATCACTTTTTACTAAAAATGACAAAAATATTCACCATAATTAGAGAATTAAAGATATCATTATGAAATGAACAAATCTGAAAGGGGTCCACCTCAGGTACTATATGTATAATATCAAAGCAATTAGTCATGCGATTTTCAAAAAGAAGTCTAAAATATAACTTTTTACCAAAAATTATAAAAATATTCACCAAATTAGAGAATTAAAGATATTATCATGAAATGAACAAATTTAAGTGAGGGCTACTAGCATCAAAGCAATCAGGCTTGTAAATTTCAAGAAGACGTCGAAAATGAAAAAGTTGATGCGAATGCAGGCGACGATGATGTCGACAGACAATCACTCATATGATAAGCTCCGCTCAAAAAAGTCGACAGCAGAGCTAACAATGCATATTCTGTTGTCTACTGTTAAATCAATAACTCATTAGATTTTAATTTCCCTGATAAATGAAACTCTCTTAATGACATGTAAATTAACATAATATTTGAATGAAAAATCGACTGAATATATTTGATATATTAACCTTTCAGACAATAATTGTTTTTAACCAAGATTTTGACTCAATTTAATTTTCTTTAGAAACTTTCTCCATTAATTTGGAGCCAAACAGACATAGGTTACTATTAGCTACAGATCTTGAACACAATTTTCGATAAAAAATATGTGTTTTTTTGGGGGGGGGTTTAGTGTTCAAAGGGAAGGATGAACTGTACAGAAATTCTTGGTAAGTATCCTCACCTCTTGCATGAGTTTCATCATTGGTTCATCGTCTAACACATCAAGTGTTATGTTACCATGCCTTATAACAGCGTACATCCTAGCCAAGTATGCTGCCATGGAAGCCAAGTAAGAATCACCATCAGACACAGTCAATGGAATCAATTTGGAAGGCAGGATATGCCAGCCCTGCGAAAAAACAAGAAATAAATAACAACCTGGGATATTTAGATATGTGTTATTAATTGTGCCTCACTTTAAATTGTGTACTTTATTGTCTACTTTTTCTCAAAAAAACTTAGCTGTAACACATTTTGCACATTTTATGTATAATTTCACATTTCTTTTTACGAAAGTGACATATCCCATGGTTGTCTATATGACTTTGGTGTTGAAAAGTTTATGATTCAGCAGTAACACCATACCTCATCATGCTCACATATCAGATAGGCACATAATTTACATTCTTCTTTTGTCTCCACATTTTTTCGCCATAACCCGTTACATCATCATCCTGCAGTACAAGAGATAATTCAATATTAATTACAATGAAACTATGAAAATATCAAACATATTTCACTTTTATTGTATGGAAAGAGAGAATGTATATTACATACATTGTACACATTACATAGGATCCATATTAAAGACGATGCAGTGATTGAGATGTATTAATAATGAAGAATCAGTTTCTATAAAATTTTGAAATTATATGTATATGAGTCATTCTAAAATTTCCAAATATATCACTTAAGACCTCACTCATTTAAAAACACAAAAAGTATCACCATACCTCATGTAGTTCATCACATTCGGCTTCCTCCTGTGTGTTATTAGGCAATTTCTCCTTAGATCCACTTAGATCCTCCTTCAACTCTTCATCTTTACAATCTCCTCCATCATGTAAATCAGACTTATCTTCTGCTTTTCCATCATCTTGAGACTTTTCTGCATTACATTTTTCTTTGTCATTTCCCTGCTCTAATTTATTTTCATCATCTTTTGGCTCATCTACCTTTGCATGATCCCCATTCTCATCAGCACTCGTTTTCAACTCTCTTTCTTTGCATCCCCATCATCCCCTTCTTTACATTTGTCTGCATTTTCCACATCTTCACTCTTATCAGCCTTTCCTAAAGAAACATCTTTTCTATCCTCATGGTTATCGACTCCTGGATCACAATCACTTTCAGGTTTGTCTGGTGTTTTATTATAATAATCTAGGGCAAAAAGCCTTGGATAGGTGCCATCAGAGTACAAGGAAACTTGTCGTAAAAACTTTCTCTGCGCCAACTCGTACAACTCCTGGAAAACATATTATTTAAGTACATGTGAATGTTTTGCATATAATGGAAAATTATACATCCTTGCCCATAACTATAAAAAGGTATGGCCTGTATGTCTATAGTTATTTTTAAGAAGAATGCAGACCCAAAAGAAAAACTGAGCTATTTCAGACCCATATCACTTAAATAAGAATTCTATTTTACTGAATAAAATAATTTTGCAATTGTAATTTGTTGAATTGTCTAACAGAAAACCATTCAATCAACAATTTAAACATAGTGTAAATATTTAAACCTTGTTTTTAATGGTGATATACATGTAATTTGTAGACTCCAAAATAAAAATGTTTAATCAGTAAATTTAATCAGCAAGGGTAAAAAGTATTTATTAATATTGTATATATTATATAAATATAAATGTGTATATGTAATGTATATATAAAAGTATATATTAATATTGTTGTTTTAAAATTAGTCTTAAATAGGCCATTATTTTATTGTGTATTTTTTTAGTAAGCAGTCAGTAAAAATGTCTACTATTTTCAATTAAAAGTAACTATGACAAGCATGAAATAGTTCATCCAGAAATTTCTAAAGTGGCAGATTAAGGCAAGTTACTTTCAATGTTAGTGTTTTTGGAATAAATGACAAATTATAAATAATGTATGGTATGCTTGATTAAACATGTATGCAAAACTAATGCCACCATTTTTAATGTCCAAATAATGGATATATGAAAGACAACAAAAGTATGGCCAATATTGATCAAATCATTACCTGAAATTCCAGTTGTTTCTGTAAGCTGCTTTGATTCTCCAGATCTTTATCATCTTCTTTCTCAGAGAGGTACTCTTTAACATAACGTACAAGTTGTGTTTTAGCTTCTTCCCACGCTTCAGGGGTCAATGCATTTTGTAGGTTAATTTTGGGATACCCAAGACTCAGCATACCAAGCTGAATTAAATAGAAAAGGTGAATTTCTGGATTAATTACCTTTGTTATTGCATACTATTGGTACAAGACTACAGCAAGAAATTAACTGACACTTGCATGTTAATGCACCTGCAGATCAGAAATGATAATATAATAATAATTTATTTACTTGTATTGCGCTATTTACAGTAATAACTGATCAACAGCGCATGACATAAAACTACAAACAATACCAAAGAAAGAATAATTCCAAATTATATGCTTTCTTAAACAAATAAGTTTTCAAATGTACCTGAAAACCATTAATATTGTTTCATTTTTTACATGTTTTGGTAGAGCATTCCACAAATGTGGTCTACATACAGAAAATGCCCTATCACCACATGTTACTAAACATGAAAATGGTAGAGTAAGTAAGTTTGAAGATGACCTGAGAGTGTACAAAAGTGTCACATGTGAATGGAACATTTCGGTAATATATTTGGGGGACTGGCCGTTGAGGGCATTGTGTACAAACAGCAATAATTACTAAACACACTGATACTCTATGTTCAATAGTGAGATTCCAAATTCTCACCGCAGTATCACTTGCAAGAATAGACCAAATTTATTGAAAAAATGGTGAGAAGTCAAGTCTCACCAATAAATTTTGCAAATTTATATTCTCGCCAATGAAGCAGTATTTTGAAATCTCAATTTAAAAATTCCCACTGACAATAGATGACAATATTATCAAGTATTGTCGAACAGCAAGAATTTTACGAGAAGAATGATGTAACATTATGGTTTACTTGGATTTTATCCACTGGCATCAAAACAAACAATGTTTTTAAAAATATTATGCGGATAAAGAAAACTTTGTATATATCTTCTCACCTCAGATGCCTCCCATCTGAATCCTTTTCCAACAACCACAATTACAATAGGTAGACGAAGCGTGACAGCAGCAAATCGGAATTCCATGGAACAGTTCTTTGATTTGGCATACTGTGGGAAAATAAAGCATACCGGTAGATGGTCAATATATACATGAACAGGATCTGTTCGATCCTTTGGAGGTAGAGTGACAAGAAAGTATTACTAAATAATATATAGTCAAGTAATCAAAAACATAGAATGCCAGGTTCCTATGATTAGAAGTAAATACAAATGGCAAGTGATATGCCAGAAAAGACAATGACATTTAATGTTCGAAACTATTGCCTTGCAAGTGGACTATATTTTGTGGAAGAAGACAAAATCTGACAATGGCAGTAAAAAGGTAAAATGTGCATGAATATCATTACCATACCTCATCTGAGACACATGCTACCATGATATCAGCATGTTTCAAACCCTCAGCAATGTCTTCAAATAAACCTGCCCGTCCAACGTTATCAACGTCCATCCAACATGACACATCATTGTCTTCTAAATACTCTTTTATTGTCCTTGGGTCACCTAATGTACAATTAATATATATAATAAATACATTATTACAATATTAAATATTACCAAGAATTCAAACAGAACCGAATATTACTGTATTCGAAAATTCACACTATGCTTTGAAGGTAGGTAAGTACACTTAGTCTAGTGAAAACAGTTTAGATGAACACTAAACAGTTCTTTGACAGACTTGCTCATATGTATGGTATTTCTAAAAATGTGGACTTTATTGTCTTCTGATTGATGTTCTGTTCATCTCGTAATTTATGTGAATTTGTATGTAAACACTAGTTGCATCATCATATGAATCCTTGATATTATGTACGGCGATAAGGGACATGGATCCATAACACAAGAAACTTAATGATTAAATCGTATATGACGCATACACTATTAAAGCCCCATCAGCACAGC